CGCCCTGCCCCACACAAAGGGGAATGTGGGGAGCACTTGTGCCCCGGCCCCGCTTGGCCCTTGGCCATTGGTCCTCAGGGAGTAGTGGGTTGTGTTGTTTTTTTAATCAACCACTGATAGTCCCTGAGAGCTGGGAGAGCCTCTGGTGGAGGGATTTGGCTTCAACTCTCCACCTCTTATCTCCTGCACTCTATCCTCAGCAGGCCCAGTCCCTCCCTATGTGGTCCTTCAAGGCTCTCTGCCCCATTTTTTTTTAAGTTTGTGGGGGTTTTGTGAGTTTTTTTTGTTTTGTTTTGTGTTTTTGTTTGTTTGTTTTCTTTTCTTTTTCTTTTTTTTTTTGCAAGAGGAAGGGAGAGGAAGAGAGAAGCATCAATATGAGAGTGATACATTGATGGCTTGTCTCCTACACGCCCCCTGACCAGGGATTAAGCCTGTAACCTGGACATGTGCCCTCACCGGGAACCAAATTTGGTGCACAGGACGATGCCCAACCAACTGAGCCATACAAGCCAAGGCATTCTCTGCCCCATTTCTAAACGTGATCCTCATGGAAGAAGGTTTATGAACTAATTCTCACTAAGGTGTGAATGTCTGCCTTACTTTGATTCTTCCTTTGGGAGCCAAGGCATTCACAAAGGTACCCTAGCCATGGACTCTTCTCTCTTACCTTCTTCTGCCCTGCTCTTCAAAGTCTCCTGTCCCCACAGCTCACCTGAGTCCCCAGTTGTGGAAAGGCTCTCTGATGAAATCTGTGATTAAGAAAGCAGAGTCACCTGTGTTTGAATCCCAGTTCTGACACTTACAGGCGGTGTGTCCTTGGACACATTTCTGAACCTCTCTGATCCTCAGTTTCTGCATCTGTAAAATGGGGATAGTAATAATCTCATCTAAGAAAGTGTTTTGAGAATTAAATCATGTAACATGGAGCTTGGTAGATGGTTAATGGTGCCTGGGCTAGTTCTGGCTGTGAACTGCCTGCCCCTCTCTCAGATGGCTGCATTTTGCCCAGGCCCTTTTCTCCCAGCCACTGGGCAGGTGACATCATGCCCCTGGTGAAGGAGAAGACCCAGTGGGGTGGGGTGGGGGACCGGCTGTCGAGGGGCCATCAAGGCACTGTTGTCAGGGCAACACCGGCTGTCTGTCTTGACGGAGCTGCTGCCACCTGAGACAGGAGGCTGGCGATGGGGCACGTTTGGGGGTACACAAGATGCTTGTTGGGTGGGTGCAGCAGAGCCTGGTGCCAGGCCTCCTGGGCTCCTCAGCCCTCGTGGCCAACAGCCTGGGGTACTGTGCTGGGGCAGGGCTTGTGCCTCTGTCCTGTGCCCGGCAGGAGGGGTGAAGGCCAGGTGCTCAGTAAATACTGCCTTTTTTTTCTTTTTCTTTTTTTTTGTTACTTTTTAAATTTTTTGTCTTTTGTCTTTTTTCATTAGTCCTGTTTCTGTCTTTTTTGTTCATTTGATTTTTTCTTTGGTAGTAAATGCATTTGAATGAGACCGAACTGTGGCACATGGTGAGGAAGGAGGAGCCGGGGTGCAGCTTTCCCCTCTCCTGAGAGGAGCCCTAATCCTGGCTCCTGTGCTCACTAGTCTCACTAGTCAGGGGCCCTCGATAAAGCCCTTACCCCCCCCGCCCCCCCCCCGTCCCAGGCCACACTTTCGGTGTCTGGACCGTGCGCAGCCCCTGCCAGGCCTGGGGTGAGGCTGCAGGGAGGACACCGGTGTTCTCCGGAGGCGAAGGGGAATGAGCTCAGGGGCAGCTGCACGGTCACAAGTGCCCCTTTGGCCTTTGATTACAGATGGGGAAACTGAGGCCAGGAAGGCGGCCTCCTCAGGCCCCCGGCTGCTGCCGAGACCCAGCGCCATGGCTCCAGTCCTTTCCCTCCAGACGCCTTTCACCCTCGGGACTGTCTCCTGTGGGTGGGCGAGGGGGGCTGAGGCACCCTGGGGAGGCCGGGGCATGGAGGGAGCGCAAGGTAGGGGCCGCCTACCCCACACCCCACAGTCCAGTGTTACCGCCTAGCCCCCCCGCAGTCCTGATTTCCTTTATGATCCCCCCGAATCCCTGAAAACACGCCCTCCCGCCGATCCAATTACTGAGTGCCTTGTCTGTTTGCGGTAGTGAGCCAGCTGGTGGGGAGGCCACATTAGTGAAGCCAGCGTGGGCTCCTAGGTGGGCAGAAATGAACCGATCGATCGGCAACGTGTTGAATGGCAGCCCCCGCTCACCTGGGCTCCAGGGCAGGGAAGGCAGGTGCTGGGAGGTTAAGGTAGGAGCCCTGCAGGCAGCTCCTTAGGTTGTGGGGCTGACCCCATGGTCATTCCAGACGCCAGTCCTCCCCACGGACAGCCCCTGCCACTGGGGGTGGAGGGCAGGAATGGCCGGGGAGGGGTCCAGGACCAGGTGTGCACCATCCTGCCTTCTAGCCGCCCCCCCCCCCCCCAGGTCTAGACTATTTCAGGGAGTTCAGTCTTAATAGGAAGCGACTTCTTTGGGTCTGGCCAGGAAAACACACCAAGCCCTTAAGCCCCAGCAACAGGGACCACGGGGGCGAAGGCTTTGATGCAGGAGGGGTGGGGGGTGAGGAGGGGGGGCGGCGGGGAAGAGCAGGGCTGATAAGATGAGGGAGGGTGCAGTGGGCCTTCCCTAGACCCCTGACATTTGCCAGGTCTCACCGCTTCCAGGACACGTCCCTTCCTTCCCCGACTCCACTTCCATTCATCCCCCCACTCCCCCATCATCTATACACATCAATCTCTCACCTTGTCCCAGCAGAGGGGGCTGGGATCGCTCTCCCCTCCATTCTCCTTGCCTCCTCGGGTCTCTGGGGCAGTGGGTGACAGGATCAGTAGCAAAAGGTGACGCCAGAGCTTGGGAACCCGCCCCCCACGACTCGCCTCTGAGGCTGTGACGACGGACGCAGGCCTGTGGGACAGGGTGACGACCAGACAGAGGCCCCTGCCACTGGTGGCACTCAGGGCCATCGGTGAGCTCGGACTTGGAAGACTGACTGGCAGGGTGGCAGTGCCCAGGCTGTACCCCCACCGCCTTGCACAGGCGTCCACGTGCCAGGTGGCGGACTCGCCATCTCCGCGACGGGTGCCCATGGCGGCCGGTGTGGCCCGCCCCGCTCTTTCTCAGAGCGGCTCTGTCCTCTTCACCCACAGGCTGCGCAGCCCCTGGGTGCCCTCGTGCCTCGGGCAGTCCTGCACACTGCAGGGCCGACGGACCAGGTCCTCGCCCTCGATCTGGGACAGGTAACAGCCTGTTGTCTCCCTGGGCCCCTGGGGGCTCTGCATCTCTCCCCGCAAACGTGGTGCCTTGTCTGCGTCCACTCCCCAAGCGGCTCTGTCCTCTTCACCCACAGGCTGCGCAGCCCCTGGGTGCCCTCGTGCCTCGGGCAGTCCTGCACACTGCAGGGCCGACGGACCAGGTCCTCGCCCTCGATCTGGGACAGGTAACAGCCTGTTGTCTCCCTGGGCCCCTGGGGGCTCTGCATCTCTCCCCGCAAACGTGGTGCCTTGTCTGCGTCCACTCCCCAAGACAGGCGGGGGGCCCAGAGGGGGCAGGGGACAGACACCAGCACACCCCCCCCACTGCTCCTTCGGTGCCACCAGTCTGGGAGCTCAGGCCCCCAGGCCCCCGAGCTCAGGCCCCCTCCTCTCCCAAGGGCTCTCCTTAGGCTCCAACCTCTTCTGAGCGGCCGGAAGGGGCTCCTGGTGGAAGGGGTGCTTCTTGTGCCCAGTGAGCTTAACATGGCACCTACCCAACCCCACCCCCTCCACACACACATACACCCAGCCACCACCCTCCCCTCAGGACACCAGGCAGGTCAGGTCAGATCCTGCTGTCACTCCCCAGGACTCAGATGAAGCGAGGTGACCTCTCCAGGCCCACTGGAAGGGCGCCCTGACCGGGGGGCATGGCGTTGGCTGGACCTCCACACCCTCCCTGTGCATTTAGGAGTCTGTTTCCAGGTGCCACGGCCCAGAGCCCACTCCCAGGAGGATGCAGAGCTGCTGGGGCCTGGGCTGGGCAATCCCTCATATTCCCAGCGGCCTGGAGGCCCCACTTCCACACGGGGTCTGCCTCTGGCGTCATCTCTCGGTGATTCTAATGGCCCAGGGAGGTGCAGGGACCGCAGTGGCAGCCCTGCTCCCCAAGTGTGGGCGCATGCACCCCTGTTTTACTGGCGTGAGACAGGCTGAGGCCAAGCAGAGCTCAGGTTAGTGCCCTGGGAGGGGAGGGCCATTTCTGGACCAGACCAAGAGGGGCACATCCAGAGCTTTCAGAAGCTTCGCCCCAGGAGATGGTGATGGGCTGTGAGTGGCAAGGGGTATGAGGGGATCCCCAGACCTTCCATGGTCAGACTGGGGACTGTGGGGGACCCACCTGACCTTCTGGGGGCAGAGAGTGGTCAGCAATGGACACAAGGAGGGTGAGGTTAGGCCTGAGTTCGCTCTGATGGAGGGTCCTGGGTGGTGAGCAGGCAGTGGGGCTGCGGGGGTCGTGGAGGGGAGGGAGGAGGGTGTGCTACCAGCCTAGGATTGGCCAGGGTGCAGCTCGGAGGGGGCTGGGTGTCAGGGGCTCAGGGAGGGTGGGAGCAGCATTTGAGGGTTGGTGGGACAGAGCCGACCAGTACGTCTGGGAAGCCATCCCGAGGCCAAGGGTAAACTGAGGCTCAGCAGGCCCCAGGAAGCCGGTTGCCTGGTGCGTGAGGAGGAGGTCTGGGCCCAGGAGCCCCTTGGGTGGTCCTGGCTCTGCCCAGAGCCCACCTCACAGCTGTCATTTTCTTCCCACATTTGCCTTGTTGGCGTTGGCGGACCTGTTCCCTCTGATCGTGTCTCCCCTGAGGCTGCGGGCTCGGTGGGGCGGGAACTGTGTTTGTCTCACTGGCTGCTGGGCGAGGCGGGGCAGCGGAAGGGGAAGGACAGAGGGTGACGTGGGTGCGTGGGTGTGTAGGTGATGCAGCTGGGTCACAGCAGGAGTGGGCAGCCTGCAGGATGGTTGGGACCCAGCTGTGCTTGAGGGTAGGTAGCCAAGGCTGGGGAGGTGAGGTGGCTGGGGAGGTGAGGTGGCGGCTCGGAGAGGCAGGGAAAGGGCTGCTGTGGGCACCGGGGATGGGGCAGGGCTGGAGTGAGGGGCACAGGGAGCTGGGATTGCAGGTCTCAGAAGGGCGAGGGGCCGAGGGGCTGGAGGCGGATCAGTGATGGCGCAGCGGGTGGCTATCGGAGAGGGCGGGCTATTCGTGCCGGGTCTTTATCTCCTGAGCGCCGGGGCTCAGCTTCCTGGGGTCTGAGAGGGGCCTCCAGTCTGTGGGGAAATAGAGCCTCAAGAGCTGGGGCCCTGGAAGTCTTTCTGGAGGAGAGGGGACGTGAGTCCCCCTCCCCGAGTGCCCCGCGCTCTGTGCAGCTAGCTGGCCACCTTGGTGCGCACGGCACCCCCCCTCTGCCTTGCCCAGAGATCAGACATACAGCCTGTTGGGGCCACGCAGCCAGTTTGGGGGGGAAGGCTTGGTCACCCAACGCCGTGGAGAAGCAAAAGTGGGGACCCTTGTAAGATTGCCATCCGGAAGTCGGCTTCATCAGGTGGGTGCTGACGGGCGCTCCCTTCTCCGGGGTCCTGTGAGCCGCCCGAACCCTGGTGGGGCTCTGTGGTCGACAGGTGACTCCTCACCGACTTGCTTCCCACGACGCGGGGAGTGATGCTAGAGGCGCAGGGACTGCAGGGCCGGGCTGGCTCCGGAATCACTGACCCCAGGGGCCCTCTGCCTGGGGCCGCCCGCTGGGAGGAGTGTGTGTGCGTGTGTGTGTGCGCGCGCGCGCGTGTGTGACGATGTGTGTGTGTGCGCGC